TTTCCTTATGGGACAAGAGAGGGTGCTCAGGGCTGGTGTTTTCAGGAAGCGCAGGAACAGCTCTGTGCATAGGCAGCATGACTGTGGGGCCCCACGCTCCGCAGCGAATTTCCACCCCTAGAAGCATCATCCTCTCAAGTGTTTTACAATAAAACAGTAATATATAGTAATAAATAGCCCCTGCTGCTTTAAAAACCTGGTAGCATTGCAGATAAAATTGCCTGCTCTTAGGAGCCGTGCTGAGAATGGATCCTGCTGCCCCTCATCGGAGCTGAGGTCTGAGGAGACCACCGTGGCGGACGCCAGACGTGATATTGTCACTCAACACCCAGGTTTTCCCCTCCCCCCGCCACTGGCCCCAGCCGCTCCCCGAGTCCTACGCCGTGAATCAAACCCAAATACTCACCCAGCCAACTCGGCGAGTCCTGCAGGGAACGGGCACTCGTGTGGGAACAGCAGCAGCAGTTGCAACCTGCACCTTCCAGCTCTTCTTCCTCCTCCTCCTCTTCCTCCTCCTCCTCCTGCAGGGAGCTGGCCGGGATGGTCTGCAGCTCACACAGCCCCTTGGGTGCGCAGTCCAAGACGCCCCGCAGGCACAGCGGGACCAGGACCTGGGGGCTCTTCTTTGCTGGGCTGGAGAGGATGTCCTCGATGCTGAACGAACACGGCTTCTTGAGGCCTCTCCTGTCTCCGACCCTGGCTCTGAAGACATCCTCTGGCGGCAGCAGTGACTGCAGGGATGGGAAGCTCAGGCTGAGCGGGGTTTGCTCTCTGTGTGCTAACTCTGGAGTGGGGTCTTGCAATGAAAAAGACAGCTTACGTAGCTTTTAAACTGGACCGGCGAAGCCATCCAGAATCGCTGCGTTGTCTTGGCAGTTCAAGTGACTGTCATTCTCACAGTCAAGTTTTTATTTTATACACTCATGCATTTTTTCTCCTTCTGACCTAGCGGCTTTATGACTGAAGCCACCCTAAATATATATATATAGAGAGAGAGATATAATCCCTTTGGAAAGAAAACCGTAAACCCCCCTGTGAATAAAATGAATTCTAACTAATCTTGGCAGCTTTGTGAAGGGTTAGTGTGGATCTAAGATTTAGCTAATCCCACAAAAATGACTGGAGAAGGAAATCTGATTTCTCCATCTCGGTGTAGATTTGAGGTGGTTATGATCTCCATTGTGCTGCCGCCTACAATCCAAGGAAGGGGGAGGATAGCTGTTCCCAGCCCGGAAATGGACCAGAGGATTAACTCCTTAAAAGAAGCAAATTATCCCTTTCTCTGACCAAATGAAAGCTTTCCCATCAAAGGAGAGCTGTCATATCATACAATATGAGAGAGGAGAGAGTTCAGCTTAATAAAAAATCATTTTTAATGACAGCACAGCCTTTGGCTGTGCCAGAACTCTCTATGAAAGTTGATTTATTTTCTGCTGAAAGCAGAGAAATTTTATTTTCCCTCCTTCCCCTTTCTCCCACCTCACTGCCCTAATCATAGTGATAATACAGATGCTTTGCATCTATCCAACGTACTCTTTGCAAGGATTCAAAGCCCTTAATAAATTAGATTACTGGCAGCTTGTAGCAGCTCTGTGGCAGAGCTTAGTGGCACATAGCCACCTCCTGCACAGCTCTGCTGTACCCCTGCTGCCTCCACGTGCAGGCAGGCAGGCAGCGAGGTCCTGCAGCAGCTCGGGCAGGAGCGTGATCTCAGTGCCACAGCTAATGGGCAGTTCAGTGAGCCCAGAGCAGCCAGGATGCTGCCTGGGGCAGCCAGGCTTCCCGAAGCTTTGCCAGTCCAATTCCAACTTCTTCTGCCCATCCAGAGAAACTGGGGTGAGACTATGGCCGAGAGCGTTGACTTGGGGCAGGAGGGGACGCCTGGCACCAACCCTCCTGAGGGCAAACAGCAAGGCCTGGCAGATGCGATCCACAGGAGGAGAGAGGACATCTTCCATCTTGGGTTTATAACTGAAAGGAGTAGCTGGGGTTAAAATAGGGAAGGTGTGGTTGAGCTCAGGTTGCTCTAGGAAAGTTTAAACCAAAGTTCTCTTGCCCCTAGTGTGGTTTAAGCCCAAGTGGGTAGCAAGGCTTTGGAGGAATGGGAGACATGGGGAATTCTCTCCCACCTGGTGTTTCTTTGCAGGGGAGAGAGGATGCCAGCCCCGCTCACGGTACACTGAGGAGACACCCAGGTGAGCGCTGTGAAACCGCTGCACATCAAAGGTCCTCACGG